GAACATGAACAAAGTAGGTCAAAGAAATCCAAATTACTTAAGAGAGACAAATAAATTTGTAAAAATCATCCTCTTTATGAACACTAGACTGTTTTGAAAGGAAGATATAGCAAGAAAATATATATTTGTACCACATCTCCCTGACAAGAAGGGAAGTCGGAAGACTATAGGGTGACTGATAGCCAAAACATTCAACTTTCTACAAATTATAGAAGGGGCTTGAAGCAGAAATTAAAGCTCTCTATTTTATGCTAGAAATACCTTCAGTAATTCTTGACCATCTAGCTAAAAGGTCTTACTTTCACTTTAAAGTATCTAGTTTATTTTCCTGAACCCTGCTAGGATCTTTTGCAAGGATACCTACCTTTTAAACTTTTTTTTTTAATCAAATAGTTAATATTCAGTATGTGGTGCCTGATATCAGATCCCACTGGTCTTTCTTTAAAAAGGAACAGAAAAGTTATTTAATATGTTAGGGAATAAAAAGAGAAGGAGATAGATGCTCTGCTGTTGAACTTTTACAGGCTTCTGAGAAAACGACAAGACTCAGTGACACAGAGATACCCTCATTCTCTGCTCAGGTTCAATTAGCTGAAACTAATTACATTCTCTTCCCTAGAGTAATTCTGGAAGCAAATGGAAGAAAGGTAACTCTTCTTCAAAAGAGGAAACATTTAAAGTCCTGATGATATAAATGCCATTGAAAAGTTTTTTACCATGTTCCTCATCTTCACAAATCAAAAAATTTTCAACTTGAAAATGCAGGAATGTCAGCATAGGTTACTTAAGTTGCAGGTCACCCACATCTGTGACACACACCCTGAGCTGAACTCTAAACCCAATTCACAATATGTGCAACCTGGGCTTTTGGGAAGCATAGTAATATTTGTTTTAATTACAACTTATTCACATTCCCCTCTTAATTCATTGTCCTCTATTAATAAACGTGTGGCACGTAAGCTCCTAAATGGAAAAATGGAGTAACATTAAAAAAGAAAACAATCAAGAAATTAAAAAAAAAAAAAAATTAAAAAAACCACAACCACACATACTTTACCACAAATATGTTGCACATAAGGCAAATTCAGTTTCTGGATCTGTTATCAAGTAATATCTCACAAAGTCAAGAGATAAAATGTTTGTCCCAAGAAGAAAAAAGAGAAGGAACAGATGCAGCTTGCTCTTTGGCACAGTGTATAGCACTTGACAAAGTTTGGAAAGAAAAGCCTGTAGCTCCCTTTTTACCTCACCAAGACAAAATGTGCAAATAGCTATAATCCCCTCCTCATTTGGAGGCCAATAAAACAACTGTTAATGCATACAGTATTATAATAGGTTTAACAGTAAAATGCATCCATTTGGCTTTCCCTAGGAATTTGATTTTTTGGACTTGTTGCCCAGTGATCTATGCAATTTCTCAGTTCAGTAATATTTAAGAAAAGCTTCATACCTTCTGAAATATCACTCTACTGCTCTGATTAAATAAATTTAATTCTCTCCCTCTCCACCCTCAACTATCATGAAACAGATGGAAAATACATTATAGTAGAAGCTCTCATAGAATTATTTTCACCTTCAAATATCAATCACTGATCACAGTGTATTCCTTTACGTGCATAACATATCAAATGAACTCCACTGTGAGAAAAGTCCAAGTTAGACCTACTGGGAGTCCACTACAGTTACAGAGAAGCCCATTTGGTTTTTGTGGCTGGGGTTTTTTTAGTTGGTTGGATGACAGTTTTTTGGTTGATTAGATGGGGATTTTTTCCATAATAGATGCAGTACATAGTGTTAGGAGAACTAAATATGTCTAAGTACCTTTCTGGTACTGCTGCTAGGTACCCTTCAAGATAATCCTTTAAAATGTACGATTTCCACACCTAAGTCTAGTGCTACACACCATCAGATCTAAGATCAACACTCAGGAAAGAGTCTCCTTGTACAGAAGCAAAACAATCTGCAGCTGAAAGTTCAGAGGTTCACCTGCTTTCCTCATGTTTGTTTCACACAGCTTTAAGATTTTGCTTTAAATTGCATTTGTGAGCTCTCTGAAATTTGGCTCTCTTACGTATGTTTTAGACCACTGAGGTCACAAGGATTCTTTGGCACTTGTACAGTGAGAAGTAATCGGTGTACATCCAAAAGGAAAAAAAAAACCAAAAACTCAGTTTGAAAGATCAAGCAATGAAGAGGGAACACAGGGGACCTTATTTTCCAGATTACGTGTTTCACCACTCATGATTGTTTTCTTCCTTATCCTTCCCAACACTACAAGTTACTTACATTCATTAAAAAAAAAAACTAAATGCATCCAGTGCAGAGTTGTGTATAAATCAAAATTCAATTGTTTGAGTATCTGAACTCAATAAATTTCACAAACAGGAGAGGAGCTGTATGCAAAAGGAACGCATTATTCAATCACAGACAGCCAATCAAGCTAGCAAAACACAAATGAAAATCCCTGCTGAGTTACAGGCTGAAGAGATATTTGGAACAACAATGTGGCCATCTACTTCTACCTTTGCTACAACAGATAAGGTATTATTCTGTATCTTTAAAAGACAATCCTACTGTGCTAATTCAGCAGAGCTTTAGCAAGTGTGAGAGAAGAATCACAGACGTCTGCCCATCCTGACAGAGCACAATACTTTCTGCCCTGAGTAGTCCCAAAGAAGTCACACAGCATGCCAGGTACAAAGTACTTGCAGAAGTGAGCCCTCAGACAGGGCTACAAAAGCTCTGGGTTAAGGAAGCACACACCAACTTGCTTCCTCTTGATCTGTTACACAGCTTGACAGTAACAGATAGCCAGTTGCATTAGTGTCAATGTACAGATAAGTTTCTCTCAGTATCTGTCACAAAAAACAGACGCAGTATCAGTGTGCCAGCTGCATTATCGGTCACTCCATAGCTGATCATACTTAATAACATCCTCGAGCCCAGACAGGACACGCAGAGAGCAATTACAAGCGTGCGCCACCGTCACCCAGATCGGTCTGACTTGGAGCTGCCGACTCGGCGCGCACTCGACGAGTGCCTGCCCACCACCTTTTCCCTCTCCAACACATTAGGCTGCCTCAATATGGGGCCAGAGTTTGTTTTGAAACTCTTAACAGGATCACTGAAAGAAAAGAGGAAAAATACCATAAATGATCCTCTGGACTGCTTCCAGAGTAGCGTGTTCTCCTAGCGATTGCTTTGGAAGCAAGCCAAAAATGGGAAATGTTCTTGCAAATGAGCACGCCACCAGGCTCAAGTACAAGTTATCATTTAATTCTTTTGTCAACATCAGCGCGGTTAGAAATTAAGAAGCCTGTTCAAAAAAATAGGTTACTTGAATTCCAGTCACCAAACATCCATTTCTTCTCTATCCATCCCTGCCATGCTCACTCAGCTCATGTCCCCCACCCCCTTCCTAACATACACTGGGGGTTTTTTGGGATATTTTCTCTCCCTTATTGAAAGTCAAATAAAATTAGTATATTAATTACATCAAAGATAACTAGGTCTGTAATCAAGAGCAAGTTAACTAAAAAAAGGAAAAAAATCAGTCACTCAGAAAAAAAAATCTAAAACCTCAACACAGACTTCTACAGGACACAGCACTTAATATTTTTAACAGACCTCTAATACAGTCTACTGAACAGTTTTGCTGGGGCAGTTTTTCACATTACAATTACTCCTAATGAGATCACCCTCTGCAGTGTTTAAGACTTCATCCTTTCCCAACAGAACAATGAAAGATTTGTGTCGAGCTACAAAGACCTCAGATCAACTCCACTCACTTCACCTTCTCCTGAATTTCCTCATAGAAACTCGTCAAAAGCAGAACTGTGTTTTTTCATGTGGACAAACTATTAATAAAGAGACTCATTTACTTATCCTCTACAGTTTTTGAAGTCCTCATCAGACTGAGGCACCTCAGACTCAGTGAGCACTGCCAGCTTTGTTTTTGAGATGATGTAAATGTCTCCTCTTCATGGATTTGTGGGGGCTCTTCCACTTTTTCACTTACAATATTTCTCATCAACAAACATCTGCCTATCTTGCAATAAACATATGGTGATAGAACTCCTTGTATTATCTTGTGATAAAAATTATAGACCTTGTATTAAATGTACATGAAAATACCTGTCTCCAAACAAACTGCAGATTCTCTTGTTCTTACTGGAAGCAAAGACAATAAAATATTTTTTTCTCATGCTAAGCAGAAATATCTTATGCCTGTAGCCCCAGTAACAGCAAGGCTAAGGGTAAGTATAATTCTAGGAACATGGTTAACTGAATTAGTCTTGAATCAGGAAGTACAACTCAATAGTCTCTGATCAGCTAGTATTTTAAAATAATCACAATGATTCAACTGAAAGCCAAAAATTTAGAGTTAGTTTTGTGGAAAAAAAAAATTATAGAAAGCATATCATACTTTATTCTCAAAATTTGATATTCTATTTGAAATATCTGTCTTGCATTTAGTTTTTACACACTTGAAACAAACCTCTAGCTCGGTTTTGATTTTGGGTGTATTCTTCCCCTTACTAACCACACCCATTCTGTCTACTACATCCATTTTAGCTTCCTTATAATTATGTCAGGGATCATGTGAAAGAACAAACTGTTTACCTACTCATACCTGACATGATTGCTACAATGTTCTGTGATAGGTATGATTTACTCAGCCTTACCAAAAGGTACAAGCAACACATTAATCAGTTAATAATTTTAGTCCTGAACCTGTCTTTATACTTATGACTTCAACCTTTTTCTTTCAATTTAAAACTGCATTGCACAACCATTGATTTTCATAATCGGACTGACTGATTTAGATTAACCAGTGTGAACTTCACAGATTGAGGATCTGAAAACCTTAAAAGCAGACTGATGATGCATTTCTCTTTTAAAAAAGCAAAAAAACTAATAATTAAAAAAAAAAAAAAACCCAACAGAAAAATCTGGTAGAACATGACCTACAATTTACAGGAAGCTGTGTGTTTACTTACGTTCACACGTGTCTCCTTTCTGCTGGTATCCTGCTTTGCAGATACATTTTCCAATAGGCACTAACCATTCTCCCTCCGCGCTACAGTGCATCTTCGGCGAGTTCTCCGCCTCCTCCTCCGCGCTGCTGACACAAGTTCCTCGCACTTCAACTAAAGAGGAAAACTCTGAGCCAGTCACTGTGTCAGGAAAAATAGCTAAGTTCTCAATGATGGACCAGCACTTCTTGTAGTAGACTTTGACAGAGACCAAAGCAATGCAGGCCCCTACGTCCTGAAACGCAAGATAGAATCCTTTTTTGGACAAAGGTCCAATTTCTCTCACCTCTGTGTTAAGTTTCATTTTTCTCTCCCCAAGATCACCCTGGGTAAAACTTTCATCTGCTGCAATAGTGTCTATTTTTACATATTGGTTTTCTCGGATACTCCTGCCAGTGTCGTAGTCTGTTTCATAATAATACAAGTTAAAAGTTTCTTTACAAGTCCCCAGAACTCCAGGAAGACTGTTACAATCCCTCAGAGTGAATTTCAGTTCTACAAAAATCCTTTGTGCATTGCTTTTTGCAATCCAGTTAGTCCGAAGCCAGTTGTTTTGGTTTGATTCCATCACCTGGCATACCTGGTATGTTCGTATAGGAGTGTAGTTTTCATCCAGTCCACTAATTTCTTCCCACTAAAATGATAACAAACAGTTAGTAATAAACAAGAAGTATGTCACCAGTTGTAACTACTGAGTATTTAAAGAAGTTTTGCACAACTCACATTTCCCTTCTTTTTAACAGTAAGCTGTTAAAAATACTGTTAAGCACCTAAATGAAGAAAATATATATTAATACAGGAGTAGGCTCTCTCTCCTTTCATGTCTTTCCCCAATACTTCTAAAAATCATTGTCATATCATGGGCACAGTTGAAATGGGGCAGCTTCAGAAAAGGCTGTTTAGCATACCAAGTTCTGATTTCACCCTGAGCTCACACACACTTCTTTAATGTCACAATGGGTTTTGAGCGAGCAAAGACCAAAAGGAGTGAGGCAGCTTCTCTTTCAAAGAAACCTAATGTCAGTGAAATCTTAGAAACTGAAATTGCTTAGCATTAGAGTACACAAAACTCGTGCATATAAAGCTTCCAGTGAAACTTGCAGTTGTATATAGAAAGCATGGGATCAGGTCCTGAAACTCATGAGTCAGATGATTCCCACCCCAATGTGATCGAAATGGCATAGAGAGAGGGCAAGAGAAAATTGACAGAATTAAAAATCTGAAAGAAAGAAAGAAAACATTTTAATTGTCTCCCTTTCTTTCAGTGTACCTTCTGTTTTATTTACAAACTGAAAACATAAGTAGCCACTGTTTGTCCAGTGGCTGCACCCCTATTAGAAGGGGCAAACTTCATTTAGCTGGCAGTTCAAATGAACCATGAGACTACACACAGAATTAAAAACAACCTGTATGACTGAAAACTCTCTGGTTCAAAGCCTGAGTTTTGTTGATTCTCTCTCTTTAGTTTACCAACTGAATAACGAGCTGGTAAGCCTTTAACAATCCCAGAGTCTTTAACAGCCTTTGGTAGCGTGGGAATTTGCACCTCCAGCAATGGCAAACCTTCCACTGAAATCAACCAGGCAGATCTGCCCAGGTGTAACCAAAACAATCCTCATCTCTCACCTTTTTTCACATTTCTTGTAGCATTTCAGTGCCTGCAGAAACTGCAGCTGTAGTAAATTAGAGGAGGGGGGTGAGCTATCGTCACCCCAGGATACAGGGAACCATGACTTCTCTGGATGGCACTCAGCCCTCTGGCCCTGTGTCAATAATGCACTTAAGCTCACGCTTAAGATCAGTGACTGTACTTATGAGCTTAATGGTAAGCACATGCTTAAGTGCTTTGTGGGCCTTGTATAGTCGGCACCTCTGCAGGAGAGAGCATCCACTGACATTCCTCATGCCGGCAACCAAGCATGGAAGGCATTGGCTTCCCAGATCAGGAGCCACAGAGTGTACATTTCTCTGCAAGCCTATTTGACAGCAAATGAGACCATTTTAATGTTGTCTGTTTCAGGAAAAAACAGATGTGGCTGAATTGATGCTGGAAGTTATCACCACAAAATATATCACAGCTGCAGATGCTGAAATGCACAGAAGTTGGAAATATCAAAGTGCATTTCAAGGACCTACAGTTAATACAGATGAGATATATACAGTATTATATATTATATGCATATGGAATTAAATGATTGAAATAGATTATTAAATGCTCATGGAGTTAACTGCAGTGATTGCATATGGAACAGTATTAACCTCTGAACAAAAGAATGTCTATCTTCATAACAGATTTATTAGAGCTGAATGAGTAATTTTTTTCACCTCTATAAGAGCTAGAAAAAACGGGGCCCTGGACTGAGAGGGTTTTGGCTATACTATGATAATAAAAAACATCTCCGCATTAAAAAAAAAAAATCCCATCAAGATGACAAAAAAGGCATAAAGCCTAAAATTTTGCCAGGTAATGCTATGTCCTTTGAGGTTTCTTTGAGATGGTTTCGGGGGGTTTTTTTGTTTTATATTTTATCTTGTGCAAGCATTCTTCCCTTAAAACACCAAGCCAGATTCTGCAAGGAGATATTCAGTAAGACAATGCATTCCATCTTTGACATGAAAGTGACTCTCATGCACCACACAACAGAATCTGTCTCCTTGAGTTCTGATGTGGATTGCTCCACCAAAACAAATCCCCATTCCTCCTCAAAAAAAACCAACAAACTGAAATAAACAAAAAAGAAAGCAACAAACAAAATACATTTTACAAAATCAACCTACTCTTCGTAATACAACACAAATGTGTTTTCTCAGAGTCAAAATCCTACTACATAAGACTAGCTGGCATCAAAGAGATTCTTATGTTACAATTAAGGAAAATAATAAATTCACACAAGAACCACTGCTTTTTGTGATCCCTAGCATTAAGCACTGGAACTATCTTTCCATATTTTGCCAAAGCAAAAAAATTGGGGAAATGTGATTTATGATGCAATTATGCAATCAGAGTGTCTGCAGCAAAAAAAATACGTATCAGTACTTCAAGATGTTTTCACCTACGGCAGGTAAGACCACCATCCACTGAAGTTTTCTTATAGTGAACAATTTCACAGAAAGAAAACTCCACTTTTCTTTGTCTTGCTGCAAAATATGGTGCTATACATGCAAATCTGTTTGAATATGCCCTGTTCTATTGGTTTCAATTTATGGTATTTTAACTTCTTCGTTATCCTAACAGCATTAAATGTAGCATTTGCAGTTGAATGAGGCATTTAACGAGTGTCTGACTGATATATTCTCTACTGTGATTATGCAGTAGTTTCTCTCAAAATTTTCTCTGCTCATTCCCATGAAGTCTTTATTGCATAGTAAATAATTCAGTAATTAAAATTATAAAAACATTTATTTTCAAAATTACATTATTAAAATGGTAGTTTTATGTTAATTTACAGACAACTTTTTCTGAACACTTCCACACATGCAAATCTAGCCATTAGTTTTGATTCACTTTTAATTTGTGATTGAAATTCACTTCTACCTCTGAAACTCACTTTTCACTATTTGTTGAATTGGACCCTACTTTCATCTTTCAGTATGATGATATGGAACACGTGCTGACATGTCTTTCATTATCTACAGGTTTGCTTAATATAAGTGCCACCAAGGTAATCTTCCAAACTCCTCTGGCAAAGGCTTCAATCAGTGCAAGCAACTAATGCTGAGGTTATTGGCCATCACCCACACTGAGCCTGGGTTACATTCCCTCTGAAGTCCTTAGATTAGTTCCCAGTTTATGCTTGTATTGATACTACAATCTTGCTTTTAAAGAAAGACACTTCCACATTTTCATTCTTATTTAAAGGATTTGTTACACTTTTATATCCCTACTCACACTTCACGCTCTTCTGGCTTCAGATTTCTTAATGAACTGAAGATTAAGGGACTGATCCCCCAAGTTCCTGTTCGTGCAAGGCGTCACAATAGATTCAGCAAGACTGTTTCCATGAGCAAGAACTGTCCATGTAATTTATGATTTGTCAGACTAAGTTCATATAGGACTGAGTTAAGACAGGACAATATATCCATTGTATCTTTCTGAAAATGTTCTTCCTCAAGGCTTGAGGAATAAGAGGTTTTATAACACTTTTAATTCAGACTGAAAGCAGCATTTCCCAACTTTACATATATAATAAATAAGACAATAAAACTGATGTTTCTAAACATCTCATTTTTATAATGGTGTAATTTACAATGGTACATTTCATAGAATGCCATAAGATTAATTTGTACGCAAGCTGGAGGTGGCCTTAACCACATAATTCGTGCCTAGTTCCAGATATCAAGCTCCTCAAGGCTTGGGGATGTTTCAAGTTTGGAATGTCATTTCAAACACATCTGCAGTAAAAATGTTTTTATTTTAGAGCACTTCAATCTGTGCTATTCAATTACAAAGAAAACATCGTAAACAAATTTATGATCACCCATTCTACAGAAAATGAAAAACATATTTTTAGAAAGTTTCCACACAGAAGCAGATCTGTTGTTACTAAGGGGAGAAAAAAAAGTGATTTAAAATACTGTGTTATAAACATACAGTGTAATCCTTTGTACAGCACAAAGAAATACACTACAAAACAAAAAAGTAATAAAAGTTTACAAAGAGCCACTTGCTTTTAATTGGCTTGTACATTTGTACAGTGTAACCTGAAGTTTCATTCTAAAAATGAAGAAGCCATAAACACTTGGTATGATTACTGAGAGAAATATGAGGGGGAACTAGTTTAAAGCAAGTCTTTCAGCTGCTTTGATAAACTGACTACTCATCTTTAGGAACTTAAGTTTTGCCTGCAGTACTTACCCCATTGGGAGGAGAGGAAATCCATTCCAACTCTGTCTGTTGTGCTTTAGAGTCCAGCAGTATTACTAAAAAAAAGGAAAAAAAATGAAATTCCACAGCTTGTTAAACGTAACAAGGGTGGATTTAAAACTAAGGAACAAAAGACAAATTTTAAAAAGTGATAGAACTAACATCATTTTTGTACAGATTAATAGTTCTTCTTCCTATTGTTAAAAAAAAATTATCTGCGACCCCAACTAGCTATTTATTTGTAAACAGACAAATGATTCTCTACCATTCACATATAAGCAGACACACATATCTGCTTATACGTGAGAGTAAATACATAAATCTTTACAATTTCATTGCTTAAAACAAAGTGAGGGATTTTTAGTGCTCTGAAGTACTATTAATCAGTCATTAAGATGCATGCTCCCTCCCTCTCCTTTTTCATAAGGACATTTTCCATATGCTGGTCATTACAATCAGCTTAAAGCACACAGACATTTCAACGCATTCCCAAACTGATTTATACAGGACTGGTCTATACCTTGCCAAAAGTCACATTGAAAAAGCAATGATCTTTTTTGAGTGTCAAAATGAAAAATACTTTCACAAGTATTTTTATTTCACAAGTAACAGCAATAATTCTGCAAATAAATGACAACCAGGAATACAGAAAATAAAAGACTCTGCAATTACCTCACACCTCGCATACACAAAATCAGCCTAATTCACTTTATGGTAATAGCTTCCTAAAATCTTCACATCATGGTGACATTTATATACAGAAAGACATCAGTTCTAGCAGCACCACAACTATTTTCAGCTAAATGTAACCCTACCTCCAAAAGTGGTTAATCACAGCCTAATAAACCAGCTCTTTAGTAGCATTCCTAATTTGAAGCTATTCCATATACCTTTAGCTATAAAGCTATTTATAACTTTATACGCAGCACTTCTGTGCTGTCTAAGATATTTAGATGTGTGACTTAAGGCTGTAACTTGAAGCAACTTTTTGCAGGTCCAACAAAACAGTTTTAATTCTAGCTTTGGCCCTTTCTCCAAGGAGAATTTAACACAAAATTACACTGAATTACTAAAAAGATGCCTAAAAATTCATTCAGCAATACATGGCATGTTAGCTGAACACAAAAAGGTAGCTTCCAGGCCTGTATTTCAGTAATGAAGTGGAACTACTCATTAAGGAAGTTTGATAGTCTCCCTCTAGAAAGATTACCTGCTTATGTCATTAAGGTTGGATTCAAGGGGCTTTACTTTGTAACACTTTCTATAGAAAAGCAGGTGGTGTATGCGGCGGCTTGTTAAACAAGAACATTTATAATGGTCCTGGAAAAAAAAGGTACCACCAAAAATTTAACCGTTTCAGCACCAGCACGCTACGGCTGCAATTCATTATACTTTTTATTGGGCAGCAATTCTCCACCACGTAGCAACGGGTGAGCACATCAGAGAAAGAAAAGATAACAAGCAAACAAAACAAACAAAAAGAAAACCCACAAAGAAACAAACAAAAAGAAACCCCAACACAGAAACCCCTGCTCTGCAAACACCCCTTGTAAAGAAATCGTGGCGTTCCTTCTGGCATCCAAAGTTACCGGGGAAGAGCTTTCCAAGCCAGCGGCTGCTGCCCTGCTCCCAGCGCGGGGGGACCCGCGGCTGTCCCGGCTCGTTCAGCAGCGCGGGGAAGTGATGCGGGGGACGGCGCCGCGCCCCGCGCCCCCCGCCGGCAGCCGCAGGGGCTCCGCAGCCTCCCGCGCCGGGAGCGCACCGGGGCTGCTGCGCGCTCCCTCCGCGGGGAGCTGCGGAGCGCCAAAGGAGGCGGAGAGGCGGCGGGCGAAGCGCGGGGGCGCGGCCGCGGGCAATGGGCTCAGCGGGGCTCCGCGCAGGCGGGGAGCAGCGGCCTCTCGCCTCCGCGGGGAGCCGCAGCCGCGCTCCCGGCGCTGCGCGGAGCTGCGCGCAGGCGGCCGCGCCCCCACGCCGAAGAGCGGGGCTTGGCGGCCGAGCCGCAGCGGAGCGCCGGTCCCGCGGCCGCCCCCGCCACACCCCCGACAGCCGCGGCTTTGGAGGAAGCGCCCGGGACAGCGGCCCCAGAAGGGAGCCCCGAGCTCCCGCAGCACGGAGCGGACAGACAGCCCGCTCCCCGTGTCCGCGCTGGACCCGAGCGTCCTGGCAGCTGGCAGAGAGCTCCGCAGGTAACGCGGTCACTTTCTCGCTTAGAGAGACAGACGGACCCTGCCCCGTTCCTCTCTAGGATCTCAGCGCGGCTTCTATTGAGCTACAGAAGGGAAACTCGGAAAACTTTTCAGCCTTTTACCCCTCCCATCCCTTTCCCGTACCCAGCGGGGAGGGGTAGGAAACCACGCGGGGCTGCTGCCACCACCGGCGAGGCCGGCGGTGAAGCTGCAAAGTTACTTTTTTGTTGTTATTTTGTTTTGGGTTTGTTTTGTTGTTTTTGGTTTTTGTTTTTTGTTTTTTAACTCGCTCTTTCTTCCGCGAGAGTTTTCTGCGCTTGCAGCAGGTAGCCGCTATCAATCCCTGTCTGCCGCTCGCCCCCTCCTGACCCTCCTTTGGCTAGGTGATTTTCCCCGAATATACAGACATTATACACGCACACTCATAGGTATAGATGCATATATAACCACCCACACACGCGTAAGACAGGAAAAGCCGGGATAGGCTACCAGTGGGAAGCACCGGCGTAGCTCCGACGACGGAGCAAGCCGAAGGGCAGAGCGGCACAGGCAGCCCGCACCCTCCCCGCCTGCCTCCCCGTCCGACTGCCCGGCCCTTCTCCTCTCCCCACCCCACGGCTACTGGTTAGTGCTCCCCGCGGGAGGGTTTCTGTGCTTTACAGCCCCTCCAAATAAACTTTCGAAATGCTGCTACGGAAAGGCTCCTTCTTCTTTCCCTCTCTAATCTCGCCATCGACTTCGTCTTTTAAGGGCAGAGTACATTTTAACTGAGGCGTTTTTTAAAGCTCCAAATGATATTTTATTGCATGCCAGAGGTTTAATGAAAAATACTGACGCATCCAGCTGAGGCGGGGGGGTGGGGGGGAGGAACCCCAAACGCATACATATGCAGAGGCACCGAAAATGCCCTGCCTTCCCCTTCCCATGTCATGTCGTGTGTGTCTTCATTCCCCCCCCCGAAGATGGAGACGGACCTTCGCCTTCGGCTGTCAAGCGCGAGCAGGGCGCTCCTTTAAATCATTTCGGATTTTCTCAGCGTGAAAAAAGAGACTCCCAGATGGGCTTTGTGAATTGATTTTAAACACCTCCATCAGTCTCTGATACAAAACTGACTGATTTGTCTCCGTGCGCGGGGGAAACAAATGTGCGGGGTGCGCCTTACACAGATACCAATATAGGACTGACGAGAACGGGGAAGCTCCGTTGTGCTACGCAGATGGTGTAAGAACCCTAAACCTCTCTCCAGCGATGCCGGGGGAGAGCACACACACTGCAGGCACAGTAAGCCGGGCTGTATGTATCCTTTAAATACATGTCCAGCCTGCACGGCTGGGACGTGCCAAACTGCACCCCGATGCTCCTTCCCGCGGTCTGTGCCCGGCCCCGCTGAGCCGGAGGAGCGCTGCAGGCCCCCGGCGGGGAGCGCCCCGCAGCCCCAGCCCCGCGCTCCGCCTTGCCTCCCACCAAAGCGTCCCGAGCCCTGAAACTCGGCCCTCAGCCCCTGCCCAGGGAGCAGCGAGGAAAGCCGCCCTCCCCTCACCTCCTCAGGAGGAGCAGGGCTGGCACGGGAAAGCGACGCTCCCCGGCACGGATACCCGGGCCGGGGGCTCTCCCAGCCCCATTCCTCCCCATCACGTGCGAATGCTTCGCAAACCTCATTCCTGGGAGCAAAGGCAGTTGTCCCGGTCCCTCACACATACACAGGCACAGCCCCCAGTGAATGCCGTGTTTTTTCCACCCCCCCACCTCAACTAAAAAGTCTTTTTTTTTTTTCTTTTTTTTTTTTTTTTTCCTGAGAGGGGGGCTGATAAGCAGCTAGCAGGGGCAGGAAGGTCCCCTACTGAGCCACCAAACAGACTTCATGAGCAAAAGCAATAAATAAGCTCAAACTTTTTGTTTTCCGCATCACCTTACCTTCTTTTGCAGCCTGTGCCTCCCCCGTGTGTGCAAAGCGGAACAGCCAGACGGAGCACAAAATAATCCAAGAAGGGAGCCTACTTTGGAAAGCCATGGTGCAGGAGCGGGGTGATTTTATATTTCTAGCTCTATTCCTAGACACTGTCACTGCCGCCGCTTGGTGGGTGCTAGAGGACGGTGGAGAATTTGCTGTGCTAGTCTGTGGCTCGGCGCTCCCTCCCTCCAGGCTGCCTTTCTCTCCTTCGCCTCCTTCTCCTCCGCCTCCGCGCCGCTGCCCGGCTCCCGCACCGGGCCGGCCGCCCGCCAGCCTCGACTGCAGCCCGGCCGCCCGCGCCGCGCGCCGATAATATCAATGAGGGCAGGGGGGCGGGGCCTCGGCCGTGGAGCGGCCCGTCCCTCAACATGACTGACAGCGCCTTCTGCCCAATCAGAAGCAGCTATCGGCGGCCGGCGGGCCGAGCCGCCCCCTGAGTCGCCGCGGCCAGGGGGGCGGGGCCGGCGGCGCTGGCCAATGAGCGCGCGGCGGTGTCGGGTGTCTGCCGGTGCCGGGGAGCCGCGGGCTGCAGCGCCGGGACGGAGGGGCTGAGGCGCGAGCGGGGCGCCGAGCCTGGGCGGCTCCCGGTGCTGTCCCGCACGCCTGGGAGCGACTGCCCGGATCGTCCTGCGAGTGAGGGGACATCCGTGCATCCCTCCCCCAGGGTTCCCTGTGCTCTCTCTGTGTCGCAGCCGCCGGGGTAGCGAGGGAGAGGGGTCCCAGCCAGGTCCGGCCTCTGTCCGAAGCCGAGCAGCCGCCGGCGGGTCCCCGCGCTGCTCCTGCGCGGTGCCCGCCTGTGGCCGGGCTGAGCGCGCACCTGGGTCGCTGCCACAGAAAGGGAAACTTGGGCAGAAGCTGCGGGATGGTTCCCTGAGACAGCCCTGCCACAACAGCCAAGTTCCTCGGGGCTGACATCACTGGGGATCCCTTCCCTCTTTTGCGTTCGTGTTTTCCGCCCCGCGTCTCCCGTTTGCCCCAGATATGAAGAACAGTTTAATGGCAATATAGATATTGTGTGGGGAGGGAAAGGAGAGGCTGCTTCCCCCCCTGCCCTCTCCGGGTGTAACCTGAAGCGCGTGTAATCCTCTAACAATGAGACAAATAGGAGGGGGAGGGAAAAAAAAAAGTGAAACCCGAGGGGGAGAGGAACTTGCCAAATCTCTCTTGTCAGCGCTCATCCTGCGGACCGGGAGAGCTTTTGCCGGGGATCCATCACGCCCCCACCCCTCCGCTTTCCTTTCTTCCAAACCCACGCCTCGCTCCTTCGGAGTGAAACAACTGCGGGACAGACACAAAAACTCACCGCTCCCCCCGAAGGAGGCCGCGGAGCGGAGCGCGGCGCCTCGGTGCGAGCGCTCCTCTCCCGGGCCGCGCCGGGGCCGGGGCCGCGCAGCCCCCGCGGCGAGAGGCGAGAGGCGGCGGCCCCGGCTGCGGTCCCCGCTCCGCGCCCCCTGCTCGGCCCCTGCCTCCTCCACCTCTGTCCCGCGCAACCTTCCCGGGGCCGGTGCCGAGCGGCATGGACCGGGTTTTGTACTGCTCCGCTAAAGGTCCATGGTCGTGTCCTTTCGAAGGATAGACACTGCGATATAAACAGAATTAGTGACTGTCGTCTCGGAAGCAAGCGAAGGCAGCGAAGAGACAGGGGTGTAACTGCAATTCGGTGGCAAGATTGTGCGAGAATCTGAAACACGCCTTGCGTAGATGCGGAGCCTCATATAGAAAATGTTATGCCATAAATGGGAATTTAAGTTGGGGGGGAGGTTTGTTTGTGGAACCTTTAGGTAGATAAGACAAAATTAGAATTACTACTACAAATAATAACAATATTGCAATGCTCAGCATTGACGGATTAACAGCCACCATACTCCGGGTTTTGAGCACTTTCCCTGCGGGCTCCTTGTGACTTCCGAGAAGAGTGTAGAGAGAGGCTCCAAAATATGCTGTATGTCTTTCACTTGCTGAATAATTAATATGGCTTAGAATATGACAGTTTTTGTGTTTCATTCAGAATGCTCTGTTGATACTTTGGATACCATGATAAGTGTAGGCATGGTGCAGACTCTTGGTTTTCTCATCCTCTGCCGTCTGTCATACCCATCATCATGCATGTGTACTTAGAAAGGGGAGCTGTGCAGAACAGTGAGTAGGCTTATCTTCTTTTTAAAAGGCTGTTTTAAATACACGCAAGGATTTTATGACTTCTTGGCAAATTTTCACGGGTGAAGTTAGTTTTCACGTTGCATATATTGTAGCAGTGATTAACGAAGATGTAGGAAGTCTTCAACCTAGTTAGTTCTCCACAGTTTCCTAGCATGAAGTGCTAGCATTTATTATGTCACTAAGCCAAAAAGACAATTTTCACCCCAAAGAATGTACTAAAAAAATTGCACTGAGGTTTTGAATGACTATGTTTATAAAAATGTAGAAACTTGCTAAATGGAAATATTTACAGGAGAAAGGCTTAAATGGTAACGAGGTGTCTTCCTGTCCTGCATATAGTATTAGGCCAGACAATTATTTTTAATGTCACCTGCATTTATACAGATTATACTGTACTATTTTATACAATCTAATATTGTATGTGTATGATATATGTATCAGATCATACACATATACAAGGATTCTCAAAGTTATGTAAATGTATTAACCACACAAAGGATGTGTGTGTACATGAGTGAGCATAAAATGAAACTAAATAAAAGATTAAAAGAAAAGTGTATATTCTTCTTCCTGATCAACCCATTTTAAATGCCCTGTCTTCCTGATAACTGTAAATAAAGATAAAGATGATATATTATATGTACTGCTTTGTTAAAGCAGTTATGGATGTATTGACTGTTACACCAGCATTCCATATGCACCGAGAGTGTCTATTAGTGTTGGGGGTGTTGTTTTGTGCTTCTCTCACATTAAATCTTTGTGAAATTGATGAAGAATTTGAAATCTTTTTTAGTGAATTTGAATATTCCATTTTCTCTGTTTATTTGTAGTGTTTTCTAATACTTCATTGTATTCTGTAGGATGCACATCCTGTATTGCATCTCATCCAGCTGTGTTAGATCTTCTGCAAAGAAAAGCAGAAAAGAGATATAATACTACTGAACAAAAATACTCAGGCTAAATTGACTACAATCTTCAGATTTGGTAACAAAACCTCTGAGAGAAGAAGGAGAAAAAAGGTGGAGAAAAAAGGAACTGGGAATTTCATTCAATTCAATGTGTTACTATTCATGTACCACCAAAATAAATGGTTAATGGGAAAAGAACAATGTAATCCAAGATTGTCTCTTTATTCTGTTTTGTCCTTTTTCTCCTGTAGGCCAGATTCTGTTTTTTATTTTTACTTGTAGTTAGAATGATTTTCTTGACATTACCAAGCTTCCCTATGCTGGTACTAACTTCGTGCTAGCTGAGCCTCTCTATGCTGAATTGCAAAGCTCTAACCAGACTTTGGAAAAATACTTAAATAATTTCCTCCTCCTTAAAATTTACTAACTCTATCTCCACCAAAACTCGGTCTGAAATTGTGGCACAAGAAATATGGGATTAAAGGGCTACACAAGTGTATGTAAGGAAATGAGCATAATTTGAAAGTTGTTACAAAGTTCTGTTTTCACTAATTTTCTTCTTGCATGATTCATTTGTTCTTTCTTTCTGACTTTGTGCAGCACTGAAGTGAAATTTCAATAGTTTCAAAAAGCTGTTGAAGGTTAGCCTCAGACACTGTTTCTGTAAATCAGGTTGAGTCTTGGTTCAGTCCACAGTACAGTGATCCTTAAGACTGTTTTTGAAAAAAAAAAAAAAAAAAAACCTTCAACTCTGTTTTACAGTAGCAAAAGAAGAAATTAGTTTTAAGTAGTAAAAGAAGACTTTCTAAACCCTGAATTTTTGGTCTTAATCTAAGTAATCCCTGAGCTGTGTTTATCCATGCACAAGGTTTTCTATGAAATACACAGTACACTTTTTTGTGCAATTTTTGTCAATTTTTTGTATATTTTTTAATATAAAATTCAGTGTCTTTGTGACTTTTCACTTGTAAGTTGTGTATGCATAATAAATCGTTATATCAGACTATGCATTTAGTTTTACAGATGTAATGGCACTTACATTCCAAATCTAGACCAGAGATGGATTTTCAGATAATCTGGTTGATTTATAAGTCAGAGTAGCTCTATTATAGTAAAGAAGACAATGTATTAAATAAATATTATTGTTCATAAAGAAATTGTAGAGAATAGGGACTGGCTTGTTTGAAAAGCATGCTCATATAAAACGTTCTTTTTCTAGTTAAAATGCCAATTTGGTTTTGGGTTTTTAAAAACTATTTTAGTTAACACTAATCAAAAATAGTGCCGTTAAGCTTCACACTTTAAAGTCTTTACTTATATCAGAATGGTAATAAAAATTCACTGTCAAATTTTCTTTTGGGAGATTTAAAGTTGTACTGTGCTAAATAGATACATAGATCATGTTTTCCAAATCTATGAATTTTCAATACACTTTGGGAGAAACAGTACAGAAATAGAGGTAGGATGGTGTGTCATCTTGCCATTTAATGGAAATGAAATACATTCTATAGAACAGCAAAAATTAAATTCACATTAAACATACAGTGAACAAAAAAAGCTTTTGCCTTTCCTGAGGAACGAGAGCAGAGTTGTAGAGGGTCCAAAAACATGCTGCATTTGAGTGCTGTGAGACTGCTTCCCCTGATAAACCTGAATTTGGAAACTGCTTTACTGAGCCACAAGAGCCTTTGGAGAACATACTGTCTCTTTGTTGATCATTCTTCAGAGTCTTTTAGTATATCACATTGTGCTGCAGACCTTCCCCTGGGAAGCTTGAGCAGGACAAGCCAGTGCCATCATCCTGTGATAGCATCTGGAGATATTCTGAAAGGAGATAATTTGCCTTTCTCCCCTATGAATTAAAAGTGTGTCTTTGTGTTTGGAGGCAACAACGAGTATCTGCACATATAAGCTCCTTGTTGACTTCAATTCTTTGTAAGATTTAAAGCTTCAATTTTTCCTAGGATGTTTGTCATACTAAAAATTGTGCACAGAAGAGCCTGACCATAAGGGCAGCTAATTTGTATTTTAGTTAATTAGTTGTAA